CCCCAAAACCCCAAAACCCCAAAACCCCAAAACCCCATTTCAGCCCAAGGCCATTGAAGATTGTCTAATTATTCATATATTATTCTACATCTGTTCAATTCACATGACCTCCAAAGAAAGTTTTTAATAATGCGAATGTTCTGTTGAATAGGACTCTATCTCCTCTCTCAGGAACTGCTTCTACTCAGTATTTCTCCTGTTCTTTGAACTTCAGGACTCTTACAAGGATGTTTACCTTTCTGTCAGCATCGGCAGGGCGACTAGAAGTCTTCTTCTTTTTCTGTTTGGCTGCTTCGGCAGCAAATAATGAATAACCGATCTTAAACTTAACAGTGTATTGATCTTTTAAGAGAATCAATGAGGATGTATTCTTTAATCAAAATTCTATTAGTACCTTTAGAAGTACTTCAGGATCCGAGGTAGATCAGAAGGAAGTTTTTCTTGTATACTCAGGAATGTAGTCCATCATTCCTGTTAGCTCAAAGCCATCAGAGTCTCCAGAATCAACTCCTCTATGGATACCTTCTTGTGTCACCTGGTCATAGTTGTCTTCTGGAATAATACATTCATCAGCATTAGTTTCAGCTTCAGCTCTTAGCATATCAAATCGATCATTGAATTCTTGGATAACTTCTTTATGAGTGGCTGCTTCTTCCAAGCACCATGGATGAGTTTTGACTTCGGAAATTCATGGTCTCTCCAAGTGGAAATAGCCTAACATTAATGAGATTAAATCAACCAAGCTTTCTGATATTGTAAAAGAGCTGTCTACCTTTGATAGATGAGTCTTCCAAAATAGATCTTTTCTATTAGCTGCAATTGCCTTATAGTAAGGATCGTCAAGAGTTGCTTTGAAGAAGGGCATATTCCCCATAACCATGCCAAAAAGCAGAACTCCTGCTGCAAAGAGGTCAACGGTGTGGCCATAGTATGGCTTGCCCATAAAAATCTCAGGGGCCATGTACTCACCCGTACCTTTAATTGTCTGATTTTTAAGAGATTTAGTGCTGAGTCCAAAATCAGATAACTTTAGGTTGAAGTTATGATCAAGAAGGACATTGTTCAATTTAATATCGCAATGACTGACACCGATACCTTGAAGGTATTCTAATGCATCCAAAAGTTGAAGGAAAAAAAATCTAGCTGTTCGTTCATTAAATGCTCCTGTCTGATAAATCAGGTCAAATAATTCTCCCTCTGACGCGATTTCCAGTGCCATATAGTTAACTTCTTTATGTCTGCCACATTGACCAAGAGATATATACTCTGAAGTACTCGAATCGTGAAGTTTAATAATATTTGGGTGGCTTATCTCTTTTGTTATTTCGATTTCTTTTTCTGCTAGCTCATTAAAGTCGATTTCACCATCCTTTTTATTCTTATCAATAACCTTTAAGGCTACCATTTTTCCTGTCTCCATGTGTTCGCCAAGGAAGACTTTTGAAAATGCTCCTTGGCCTAGCATTTTAAGTAGCTTATAATCTCCTAAAGTTGCCATTTTAATATTTTTGTATAACTTATTAGCTTACAAATTAATGGGGTTTTGGGGTTTTGGGGTTTTGGGGTTTTGGGGTTTTGGGGTTTTGGGG